TAGTACCTACTTACTTAAATATTTATTTACAAAACACAAAAACTTTGTTAGCACTGGTTAGCACACACTACGGAAAGAACACGCACGCTTCGAACTAAACAAAAATCTATATATTATCTAAACTAATTTCTAATTACAAGCAATGTAACCTACTCCGCCCGGTAACAAACTTGGCGACATAAAAAATCAAAACATTTGAATACTAGGTACTTGCATAGCACGTGTCACCATTCTCTGTCTCTTTTTCGCGATATGCGCGGCCGGCAAAATTTTACATCGGCTGCGCGCGGTGGGCGCTCGTGCTTACGAACTAAAACGACGCTTACCGAACGTTGCCGAAGTGATGAGTGATGCGAGTGATGTTTGTAACTGATGCGTAATGCGTGATGTTGCATTACGTGTCAAAGTGATATTACTTTTGTACTATTACACGCATTACCTACCCATGTCTAGTCGCAGGCGCAGGCGCACGTCCGTCGTCATCAAAGTACAGCTACAACGTCATGCAGCCGTATATAAAATATGTGCTGTTAGTCGGCCGCGGTCAGTCTTGTAACGCGCGCGGCGCGCGGCGGTCATGCTCGTCTATGATTCAAGTTGTATGTCTCCCACAAACTAATATCACCGCTAGTAAAATGAACTTAAGTATTGCTAGTACATATTTTCGCTATTCTTTCACATCTATTCATACAACAACATTTACAGATAAGATAAATTCTTTCAAAAATATATTGTTAATCATCATAACATGAATTTCTCATGTGGACATTTAAATTTTTTTAACTGACTGAACTAATATAATACGATTAAATTTGGTTGTCATTATTATTTTATGATTAATAGATTAATAGACCCAATCCCTACATACGATCCTGAGTCCATGCGGCTTCTGGTCTCCTCGTCAGAGTAAGTCCTATGAAGGGTTGAGCCTTATAAGGTAAAGGTGTTCTCGGATCCAATACACATAGGATGTCAGTCATCTTCCTGATGAAATTGAGATTATTTCCAATATTCCCGGCCTTAATCAAATGATCAATTGCCATCTCATCAAACTGGGGACCTCGGCGGGCTCATTAACCTGGTAAATACTCTAATTACTGAGCCAATCAATGCCATTTTGGAGTCTAGGTAAACATTCTTGTTATAATGATACTTGCCCAAAAATGAGACTCTCTTCATGAATAACCCCTTACTTGTACGGAATGGTTGCCAGGAGAACAAAAAGCAAAAAGCAGCAACAATATTATTCATTGTATCACTTTGTTCTCCTGGATCCTCGTTTCCCAGTAACTCTTTTAACTCTCTAATTCTGGGTACAATTTGGGGTGTTACTTTGTTCAGGTATAACAAGTTTATTGAGTCTTTGGCTATTACATATGGGATGATTAAATCAGAATCAATAAAATCACTAAATACCCATAGATCCTCATATGTTCGAGGGAGACTTCCGTAATTTCGTTTGAATTCCGTGAATATAGTCCTGAGGTAATTCCGTCCTAGTGATCCGAGATCATGGTTGTTGAGAGGATACGATGGAGGAATCCTATGAGGGATTACGATAAATTCTTCCAGGAATCCTGCTCCTCTCCAGACATTGATTAATCCACTATTACAACTAATATTATCTATTAGGAACAAGACTTGTCCCAATAGAAGAGCATCAGGTCTTCTGAGATTTTGCACAGATCTCCGGTATAACGCTGCAATTGCTGAGGCATGAATTAGTCCGTAGAGGAGTCCTTTCATATAGTGTTTTGGACTTAGCTTCTCTCGTAAAACAAGAGGGAATAGACTAGCATCCTCCTGAAGATATCTATGCCTATAAGTCATCTCACCATAAAGGAATCCCTGAATTTTCCCAATGTGAAATGACTGTTCATTTCTGTCGAGTCTGTCCCAGTTCCCCTCGGGTAGGTCTAGTTTGGCACGTTTAGTTACCCATTTAACTCCTTCTGGCTTCCATGACTCAAGTACATCTGATACAGGGGGGTGTGTGTATATATAATCAGAATCTAGTTTGACGTCTGCAATCGGTCTTAAGCAATGAGTGCAGTCGAGATGTAAATGGTACATGGCAGTTGAGGGCTTACCTTTATGTATTTCCCCTACAGTCATCTGGCTGTACAGCAGTTGGGCCTGATATAGGAAGTCATAATTAGTAGATCCCAAAGGGCTCATTGTGTCAGTAGTCTCCAGCATCCAAGTTCCAAACAATGGTGCCTGAGCAATGTAACCCCCTTGACTCTGTCGTGAGCAACTAAACCTATGAAGAGCTGATCCAGATCGAACTTTCTCCGGCTGATCATCTTCCCATTTTTCTCCTGTTAGAGCATATAAGTTAGATAAGATTGATTGACTTAGATTTGAATGCTGGTTAATAAACCATCCAAAAGCCTTTCTGAGGTCTGCGGCCCTTCTAATGAGAGGGATTTTGCTTTCATTTTCCCAAGGCCTCAGTAATGATGTACTCTCCTTTGTTTTGGACCCCAGATATGCTTTATACGGTCCCTTCCTACCATTGTGATCCGGCATTCCTCGGGGTATCAAGACAGAGAGGTGGACATCTAATAAGGAAACCCCACCGGTAGTATGGCCGCATTCTGTCGATCTATGAGGGATTCTCATCATCTCAAAAGGGTGTGGTATTGTGGCGCCTAACACAGGCCCACTCCAGGAAAGTTTCCGAAGCATATCTGCTTGTTCACTAGAGCATGTCCAGCAGGTTTCTGGTTGTAACAATCCTGCCCGAACAATACTTATCAATGATCTTACTCCCTGGATCTCCGATAAGATAATGATGTTGTCAATTTCTTTCTTCATCTGTGATGAGAAGATGTTTCTGACTGTTTTCGAGTTTTGAAACAATCCTACTAACCCTTCAGTCATTCCCAGGTAAGTGCTAGCTTTATATTCACTCAAGAAGCGGGGGAATCTAGGGACAATAGACTCCAGAAAGGCATAAAGAAGTTGCTCCTCATCCCGTGAATGCATTACAGCATGCCTCACTATATGATTTTGTATTCTATCACATCCCTTGATCAAGCTTTTCTTAATTTCTTCTTTGATAACTTGGACAGGATTGACTCCATGTTTGAGATTAATTGCAAGAGGGTTTTCCAATAATTTAGGGAAATGAGACCTGCTATAGGGACATAGTTGGGGATTCCCAATTTTATGAATAAGGCTTTGGAGTCCCCTTCCGACGAATGGGAATATTCCCTTCCAGAATGATAATCCCTCTGTCAATGGATCAGGAAAGGATCTGATTAAGAATCTGGTTAATGAGACTCCACATATCCCTCCCAAAGAAGGATCTAAGTATAAAAGCAGGATACGGTATTGCAAACTAGTGTAAAACTTTACCTCGTGGCCGTCTAATCGTTTATTTATTGCACACTTTGTTGCAGGGTTGTGGTAAGACAAGACTTCAAATGCTAGGTTCCCTATGAAGTTATAGTGGGAAATTGCATTAGTGGGAGATTCAGAGAAATAACCAACAGATAATGCATTCGAGGAGACTGTGGACATTATGTTACCTATCATCGGAAGTTGATCGTTAGACACACAAGTCACTCGGGACCACCTCTTTGATTCCAACCCCATGATCTTCCCTCGGAATATTGGGACCTTCCCATAATTGAGGTAATCTGCTGACCTGATTGTCTCACTCTGGTTGATAATCAATCCTAGTCTCTCTGTTCCCTTCGTGATGTTGCCCATGATTCGTTGGTTGTTTCTAAGTATTTTCTGTATACACTCATCTAACTCATCGTCAGTCCGAACCTTCTGTAGTTTGTATTGAGTACAAATGACTTGGTTGTCCCCTTGTGCGAGTATACTAATTGTAGTGTTCTCGACCCGTCCCTCTCTTCTTATAACCAAGAGATTAGTAATACTCCATCCTTTCTGACGGAGTCCTTCTAAACCTCCTTTTTGGCCGTTCCAACAAACAGGCTTTTAAGGGTCCCTATTGTATAGAGTTCCTTCAGCAACAAACATCAGATCCGGTCTCCCATTGTAATAGATTAGACTTTTCTCAAAGAACTCATGAGTTCGAGTGATTAGATTCGGATAACCGAGGAATTGTCCCATGACCCTGAATACTGGATTGTTTGATTCGCCTCTCTGGTGATTGTTCCACTTTTCATAATCAATGTGATTGGCTAGAGTTATAAACTCGTAACTGTCGAGTCCCTGGCCATTGGATGTGTCTAACATCTTTTTTATCACTGTATTTAGATCATCTGCCATTGTTAACCCAGAAAATAAAGTATTATAAATAAATGTCAATAACTGACAATGCCAACATTCTTAAACTTTTTAACTTGGTCGTATAATAAATCTTTGAAAGGAGGTTTTTATCCTGTTTAAGATTTTCCATCTTAAACATTAATATTAAAAGCATATTTATGATTTTCTTGATGATTATGTGTGCTAAGCCATGACATTATGATTTTAGTTATATAATTACTTAAAATAACATTTTATTTTTAATTTCGAATCTAAACCTTTTTATTGCCGATTTATTTATCTTCACTTCATTCGTTCATTGTAGTTCACGAAAGTTGTCTATGGTTCCGAAAATGTTGTTTGCGGCCGCAAATCAAACGAAACTTCGCATTCGAGAACCGGAGTAGACCTCCTGTCCTCTTGTTAATAAGTTTCTGGGCTCGTAGGTCAACCAGGAGGTTGTGGCATTGTAGGAAGTCTGCTCCGATGATTGGTCTCTTCACGTCAGCGACATTGAATCTCCATTTCAGTGAGCGACATAAACCAAGGTTGAGGTCTAAATTGCGTTCGCCATAGGTTTGTATCGGTGTGCCGTTTGCTGCGTATAATAGTATGGTTGACGCATTTTTTTTATTCTTGCACGGGGTATATTACTGATAAGTTCGCTCCTGTGTCGATTAGGAATCGTAGTTTGTTGGCTGTGTCGTAGACATAAAGACGGTATGCGTGAATGTAGTTGATCTCGGGTCCCGTCGTAGCCAAGATCTCGTTTAGTTTTCCCGTCGCTTGCCGTAATTGCATGGAGATCGGCAGTTGCGTGCATTCTCGCCGAAGCGCTTGTGGAAATAACAAACATCCCTCGTCGTGCGGTTGTAGTTATTATTTCGGCCGGTTGAACGTGATCGGGATCGTGAATGAGCGGAACGACGATATCTATGCGTCGCTCGCATTGTGCGCTGTACTTTTAACTCGGCTATCTCCTTCGTTAGTTGCATTACGGCGTCTCGTAGATCCAGTTCTCCGTGCATTTTCTGTTCGCGTGCACATAGCGGTGATGATTTTGAATGACCCTTACAGGTACCGGAACACACGGTTTGTGTTTCTGTGGCTTGTTTGTGCATTTTATCGGTCATTGCTGCTAGAACGTCGAGTGATTTCTGTTCGCTTACTGCTAGGACTGCTCGTGTTGAGATCGATAATCGCTGTAGCCATAACATTTGAAGTGTTGCGTCGGGTACTTTCTCGCGCGCAGGTTCTCGCATGCGGTTGAGCAGTTGTGATGGCTTCTGGTCGCCGAGTTCCATATCGTTGAGGAGTTTGTGCAGCTGTCGCGCTCCAGATTCCTCGTACACGGAAAGTAGCCGTTTCTTCGCTTCCTCATATCTTCCGGTACGGTCTTTCGACATATTAATGTCAATGATTTGTTCAACGTCCATTTTTTCGAGATGGGCCACCATTAGGCTAAATTTGGCTTCTTCGCTGGGCTTCTGCGGGTTGACGACAGTTTCAAATTGCCCAAACCATAGTGACGGTTGGTCGTGCCAAAATAAAGGTATGCGTGCTTTGACGGATATGGTCTCGACTTCTTCCGATGTCATGTCGATGCTAGGGTATGAGCAAGAACTTTCGTCGGGGTCACCACTTTACCAAGGGATGGTAAGTAAAACACGAGTGAGGTTTGGAACAGAATGAATTATTAGAACGTCCACTCGTTTTATTTATACATTTAGAAAGAAAGAAAGAAAGAAATTTTTTTATTTGCACACTGACACAAGGAAATAAATAAAAAAAAAACAATACAGTAAGACGGCGCAAAAAGGCAAGAGCTCAGCTTAAAATGCCGTGACACGAGTGTGCTCGAGTCACGGCGCTGATTTTCAGCACTTGCCCGTTACTAATAAAATAATACATTAAATAATAATAATCGAAAACAGTAAAAAAATATATATATACAATTCAAAATTAAAATAACAAAAATTATTTGTACAATAAATAAAATAAATAAATCTCCCGAACTAAACATGCGTTTAGTTCAGGAGATTCACCATATTTGTCAGCTTGACACTGACATTTACATAACAGATGTCACATTCGCGTAATAAAATAACCTCAAGCGCACGCGACGACGCGGTAGGTACCGGTAAGCGGTAATGGCGTCCCCGTTTATACAAAACCGGCATCTGAATGTGTATTACAGTAAAAGAACGTTCTAATGGCCAGTGTTTTTGAAAGAAAGTGCAACCAAAGCAGTGACGCCGCTGATCAACCACCACACCGCGCGGCGCTATTGGAGAACATGCTGATAATATAGTGAGTGTGTATAATTATAGTATGAACAATCTAAACAAACAAACGAGTAATAATGAATAAGTAAGATATTAAGTAAATAAATAAATAAATGTGTGCATTAATAGGTAGTTGTAAAGTGTAGATATACTAGGAACAAGTTGTACATGTATATTATGTAATAATGTGTATTATGTTGCAGCACATACATGGTATTGCCATAGTCTGTAGTAATATGCAGCCAGTATGAGTCACTACCTAATATCCTGTGATGTGTATTTTTAGGCCGATTTCTTGAACCGGTACACACCAGTACCGGAGCAGGACACGAGACACAGGACACTCTGGACGGCCAAGTCAAAATCAGATACGCCGCGACCACCAGGACACAGCGGACACGTGGCAACAGGCAGCAACCCGCGCCAGTGACGCCCAGCTGGAGACCCCACCCGTGGCAGCAGGCCAGGACACATGTGGTAAACAACAACAATGTCTAAAGTGCCGGTAAATAAGATCAAAAACCTCCTCTCCAAAACAAACCCCACTAACGTACATACATCTATACACACATCCGTACACACATACACACTCTGCACTTTAAACAAAATCTTGCTAAAGACAAAGTTATTGGAGAGAAAGTTGTTGATGCAGTAGCATTCTTTTAAGTTGGTACTTAAACGACTGTGTTGCTTTTAGGCCTCTTAATGGTGGTGGGAGATCATTCCAGCAGCGTGTCGCTGCAAATTTAAAACTGCCCCTGAAAGCCGCCGTCCTGTGCTGCGGTATCTTAAGCGGATCAACCTCAGAACGGAGACCGGACTCATACCGAGTCTGACGCCAAGTGAGTTTTTCATATAAGTACTCGGGCTTACGGGTTGTTGTAATGTTGAACATTAGACTTGCCAGATGCGACCTACGCCTGGCAGCCATCTTCAATATGTTGAGCTTGTTTATGTGCGGTGTCACATGATGCCTACGCGGTATCGGCACACAAAAACGAACACAGGCATTCTGAATTCGCTGGATCAGCCTGTCAGTCCTGGCAAGTAGGCAGGGCCCATAGACTGTGTCACAGTAGTTAAGTTTAGACAGGATCAGGCAGTCAACCAGTTGTTTTCTTAAAGGAATGCTTAGAAAATTTCTTATGCTGTATAGTACCTTAAGCCTGTAAAAACAATTCCTTGCTACATTTTTTATATGAACCTCAAATCGCAGTTCTGGATCCAGTGTTAAACCCAAACTGCAGGCTTGCTCTACTCGTTCAATTTTTTGTCCCTTAATTATGATTACTGGAGTAGCACATAGTATAGCTGCAACTTGTTTCCTCGTACCCATCACCATGTACTTTGATTTCAAAGGGTTCAAAACCAAGGAGTTATTCTCAGACCATGTCACCACTCGTTCCAGATCCTCGTTAACCCTCCGCACCGCCACGGCAGTATCATCCCCTCTGAAGGTTGCGTACAGCTGGATGTCATCCGCGTACATGTGGTACTTACAATTAAGAAAGGATCCGGCAATGTCAGCACTGTAGAGAATGTACAGTAACGGCCCAACTATCGATCCCTGTGGGAGTCCTCTGGACACCTGTAGCGGAGCCGATGACACAGTAGATCCATCATCCCTACGAATCTGCACACACTGTGTTCTATCAGTCAGATAACTTCTGAACCATTCTACGGCACCCCTGTCAAAGCCATAGTATGCCAACTTGGATAGAAGCAGATTGGTGTTAATAGCGTCAAAAGCTCGCGAAAAATCCAACAGAACCAGAATAGCGCCCTCACCCCGATCGCGCGCCTCCAGAATGTTTCCCACTACATCCAAGAGTGCGGTTGCAGTGCCTCGTCCCCCACGGAACCCCGACTGAAGGTCAGTGAGAATTTTGTTACACTCAAGATAATCAATCACCTGCAAGTACACCACTCGCTCCAAAATCTTAGACAGGCAGGGCAGAATGCTGATCGGTCTAAGGTCCTTCACAGTGACCGGATCGCTAACTTTTGGTATAGGGCGCACTATAGCACGTCGCCAGAGTCCGGGGAATGTGCGCTACTCTATAGATCTATTAATGATATCAGTTACTGTTTGTAATGTGTTCGTCAATGTGAGCTTTATCATATCCAGACTGATACCATCAACTCCCTGCGCGTTCGACCTCAGACTTCTGATTATGCTCAGAACTGTCTCCTGGTTAGTTGTTCTTAGCGAGAATTCAGCTGAGCTATGTTTATGGGTACCGAAGTAAGCCATTTGTGTAAAGTTGTCATTGCCATTTCCCGGGACATCCAAAAAAGCTCTGTTGATGGTATCCGGATTATCGAAGTGAGTGGGGAGTGACCTATCTTTATGATCAGGAAGTACATCAGACTTAAGGTTCCGCCACAATAGTTTGGGATCTTTAATTTGGCCATTAAATTTCTCTGAAAAGTATGCTTTCTTTTCCCTCACCAGTGCGGCGGCGGCTTCTCGCTTAAGATCCCGATAGTATTGACCATGATGCGGTTCTTTAGTTTTACGAAATCTGGCCCTAGCCCTATCCCGCAGCCTGAACATCAGTCTAATGTTGTCCGTAATCCATGGTGTGGGCCTCCTCTTAAAGGTCTTCTTTCCAGTGGGGGCATGAAGATCATACAGCTGGGTTATATATGAGTTAAAAAGATCGACCATGGAATCAACATCACCCAAATCTCCTACGGCAGACCAGGGAACAGTGTTCAGATCACTGTGAAAATGATCCTGCAATATATCCGAAAGGGGTCGAAAATCGACCATCCTAGATCCCTCTCTTGGTCTTTTAAAAACCGTTTCACACGTAATGAAGGAGTGATGGCCCAGCTCACTGATATAATCCACCACTACTCCACGTGTTACTGCGTCAGTGCACACAAGGTCAATGAGTGAGCCGCCATCGCCCACGAAATGTGTGGCCGTCTCGACCAGCTGCGCAATGTTCATGTATTCGAAAAAACTGGTGAGCTGTTTATATTTTGAAGAGTTTGCATCCAACAGGTTGACATTTAGATCCCCCAACAGTACGAGGTTATCATAGGGAGCTAATGCACTGACGCTGGCAATCATGGCATCTAAAAAAAGCTCCAGATCCTGCCAAGGCGGGCGGTACGCGGTCCCCACCAGAACCCTCCTACCATTTATGTTCAGACCCAGCCAGAGCTGCTCAACAGTAGGGTGCTCCGGATGAGGTCTCACACGTGCGTTAATACCGCTCTTTATATAGAAGGCAACCCCCCTGCCGCGCCCACCTCGCGTTGTCGCTGGACGCGGTATGTGCCTAAACTTATACCCGCTTATACTCGGAGCACGATCCTCCTCCCCCTTACGCAGCCAGGTTTCATTGATCGCCATGACATCCACCGAGTGCTTCTGCATAGCGATCATGAACTCGTCCTGTTTCGTCCCCAGAGAGCCCGCATTTAGCAGACCAAACTTTATGTATTTACTAGTAGCCATCATTGCTTGGGTGAGTTATGGACAGCTCTGGTAACGTGCGATGCATGAGCTGTGAGGCGGATGCACTAGGGATTGATACCGCATTGCTACAGATTGTAAATGTAATGAAATTTTGTACCTGTATTGCAGATAGATTTGGTGATGAGGCTATTGTAGATGTCCCATGTGTGGATTATTTAATTATATTTAATTTTAGATGTAAGGTCGAAATGTCCTGTATATAGAATGTAAATATGTTCAGTTTTATATGTAAAGTGTATGTGTATCTTATATATTGTATGTAAATGTTTATTTGTTCTAGTAGAAGTGGTGTAGTCCTATATATAAAAATTATTTGTAAAAATAGTGTGAAAGTGGAAATGATATAATGATATAAAATCCATGTTATTAAATAAATGTGTACATAAATACAATTACAAACAAGCCGTTTCATTTGCAGTGCCAAAAATACGGGATAAGTCCTCATCGGTGCGGATCCTCTGCGCTCTGTCTCCCGGCTCCTTCCTGGTGAAAATGCGGCCCTGCTTTGTCCACACAAACCTCCATTTCTGGACGAGGGCAGCGTCTCGCGTCCTCCGAAACAACTGACGGTTAACCTTCGTCAACCGCTCGTTGATGAAGAAGCGCTGCGCCGGGCCGGGCATGCCGAGGTCGGCAGTGGTCGCACCCCGCCGGACTCGCGCCGCCGCCAGAAGTCGATCTCGCAAGTCCCGGCGAGCGAGGCGCACAACTAGTGGCCGCGGGCGAGACTCAGTCGGTCCCGTCGAGCTCGTCACGTTGAGCTGCCTCCCACCGACCCGCTCCGCGCTAACAATGTCGCAGTCGTTGATACTGACCCCGAGCTTGTGACTAATTGCCTTGATAACATGAGCAGGATTCTCCGCCCCTGTCTCCGGCATGTTTGACACCTCTATGTCGTTGGCAAGGACGTCCTGGTCCCTGCTGTTGAGCTCCCTCTTCAAGTCCTCCACAACCTTTTCCAGGCAGGCAGAGCTCGTGGAACCTGTAGCGGCGGTGGCCTGCTGCTCCAGTTTGTCAACTCTGGCCTCCAAACCGTCCATACGCGTGCTGCAAAAACCCAGGGCGGCCTTCAGCTGCGCCATCTCCACCTCCATCTCCCTCCGAAACCCCCTAATCTCGTCTCGCACCGCCCGAAGCTCCACAACAATCGCATGCAAATTGGTGTCCGCCGCAACAGACAACCCAGAGAGGGGTGCAGAGGCAGTATCACTAGGGCTTCTCGACATATCGGGCTCTGCCTCAGTAGACATCCCCGCGCCATCAGTAGGGGGGCTCTGCGCAGAACCTCTGACGGGGGTTTCCGTCCGGTTGTCCCGGGCAATATGTTTTTTGCACTCGGGACAGCGCCAATTCGGTGCAATCCCAGCTTTTGTGGCGATGCCCACACATGCCCGATGGTATAAATCGTGGCATTTGCTGCATTTGGCACCATCCTGCGTTGCTATGAAACGCCCACAACCTCCGCATTTAACGCCCGGCATCTTCGATGAATTTCGGGTGTTGCCGGAGACGACTAACAGATGGCGTTGGTAGCAACTTAGCGAGTAGATGTTATGTGGGGTCGTTCCCTCAAGTATAATTACTGTGGCGGGTAGTTCTGAAATTGTTGCTCACCAATCACCGGAATGCCGTCCTATAGACGCAGCCCTTATATAGCACAATTTAGCGTACACTACACTGCCTGTGGCGGAAATGATCACTATGTTTAATAATAAATAGATTTTAGCACAAATGGACTTTTATTTGTAAACATTTGCAATAAAAACTTGGGACGAGGTACCTGGTACCATTTGTAGCTATTGTTAGAGGTTTAATTAATTTGTTATAAGACCATTATATCAATTATAATATTACAAATACACATTCAAATCCATGTCAACATTAAAAGAAATATAATAAAATAAAATAAAATTCAACTTCATGTCAGAACCTAAACCATATGAAATGTCACATGAACATTTGGGGTAAGCATTAATTTTACTCAAAATATGACGGACCAATCATAAACCACTAGTAGTTTACGGGCCTGCCGCGCTCAAGGCGTGTCGCTGCTGTCGTCGAGGCGTCTGGTACAATATTATCAACTATCAAACATACCCTATGTTTCATCCATCTCATTAGTATATACCTTAGATCTTGTTGCAGTTTTGGACCAACTAGTAAATCATCTCTGCCTCTTTGGCCGAGTAGTCGCAAGGGCGACTGCCGGGCAAGTGGTCTCGGGTTCGAATCCCGGGTCGGGCAAAACCACCCCGTTCCCACTCCTGCACTTCGAGCCGGAACCCCGGCAACCCGGGGTTTTTAAAAAAATCTCAGTAGTATAGCACGGAGTCTGGAAATGTGCACGGTAAATGGCAATAGGCTCACCCCCTATTACATGGGACGCATAACATAAATAGTGAAAAGTGGGTGTTACATTGTACAGTGGCATAATGTGCACCTCTGCCTACCCCTTCAGGGATAAAAGGCGTGATGTTATGTCATGTTACGTAGTAAATCATCCATTAAAGACGCATTATTGTTTCCTTTGCTCGAAGCATTGAAAACTACTCTGTTGTCCTGTCTTATTTCACCATTGCATGGTGTGGAAGATATACAGTTCTTGTACTTTCTATCTCTATCTCAATTAATTTTTTCATGTGAACTAAGATATTCTTCAAATACTTTGTTGTACTCTGTTCTCAATTTGGATGTCGTGCTAACCTTCTCTCTAAACCCTTTAACAACTTAATAGCTCTCTTTGTGTATGACCACACTGACATTGTGAATCTTTTGTTGCAAAAGGTAATCCTTCTATGAATCTTTCTTCTTCATCTCTAGTAGTAGTTAAATCAAATAAATTGTCACATACCATTTCATCCTGTCATCCTTTTCTGTATTACATACAGTAAGTCTCCTCTAAATGTACGTATGTGCATGCCAATAAGATTAGTTTTCTATGATGTATTGACTCTGTTTGACACTTTCCCTGAAACTATCCATCCAAAGAGTGTATTCTGTGTTATCATTCATTTATGTGCATACATTCCATCAAGCAATATTTCACCTTACACTTCTGCACCCAGCAGTATGTCAATCTTACCTGGCGTGGCATATAAACTATAAATTTCAACCCATTCGTAGGAGCTCAGATTGGTTGTGGGAAGCAGAGGTGTTAAAGAAGATAAAACATATGCGTTAATTTAAATGTTATTGGCTGGATTATGGCATGATTCTACTTGCAATGAAACTGTATTATGCTCTACTGTTGCGCTTACCATAATTAGTAAAAAGTTATCTAAATACCTGCTCTCCACGCAAACCTCGGAACCATTACATGCAGCAGCCGAAAGTCTGCGTTAGTAGTCCACTGGCTGAGGTCCCGGAGTCCTGTAGAATCGCCACGTGGCACGTTATGTGCGCGCGGGGAAGGAAGTTCGACCGGTACAGGCATCGCTTGCCTCGTGCGCCGTTGCGCACAACGCTCTATGTGTACCTATTACATAGGAACACAAGGTACGTGCTTGCGCTGAAATGTTGTAAGCAATGAAATGTTGCGATGAAATTTGCGCTGAAATGTTGTAAGAAATGTTATAAGCAAGCGCTGTAATGCGGTGCAGAAGCTAGTAGCGTGCAGATACGGAGAAAGGGCATTTACTAAAATTGGTGCCTTTCATTTTTCCTGGCGGCAGTCGATGATTTATGGAAAATATTATCTAAAATGACATTACAAACGAAATTGTCTATGGGCTCATATTAGCACCCTGAGGACGAAAGTGACTCAACTCAAAATTGCCAATTTTTGGGAATAGACGAAAATGTGTCCGTAGTATTAACCATTTTCTGTTCATTTTACAATAACACTAAAACATGGTAACAAAAGTTATGAATTCAAAATTTCTTTTAAATATATTGTTTTCTAAATAGCTTTAGATACATTATATAGCGTTTGCAAAAAAAAAGATTCTCTCATATAAAATAATAATAAAAAAAGATCTGTTCATTCCTAACATTGCTTTAGAAAACGTTTTATTTTTTTCTAAAAAAACCTTTATTTTTAAGATTTTGTATATTTTTTCAAAAAAGCTAAATTGTGTTTTTTTTTATTATTTTACTATATCTACTTTAATTTTTGTTGTTTTCCTTTTATTAGCAGATCTGGAGGTTATTATTCTTAAGAGTGTAAAATAAATATTCGTTCGTAGGCATTAAATGAGTACACACGTCGTAAATATTTTATTTTTAAATACATAAATTAAAATAATAAAGTTAGTACTAATTAATTTAGACCAACAACGAGATCTACATAGTGGTATTACTAATCAGGAAGTGCTAAGAATTACTAGGTCCATGTAACATAGCTAAACTTGGCCACCACCTGCCAGCACATCAATTTCATCGTTTTGTAACATTATCACCACAAGCACAGGAAGGTACAATTGCACAATGCCGAAATCCATGGATGTTGTCACTGTTCATATGAATGTGCAGGAGACTCTCTTGAAGAGGATGGCGGATCTGGAGGGACAGATTCAGACGGCAGGATCGGCTAAAGACTCTTTGGCCAGGATAGCCGATGAATTCCGCACCTACCGTAAATTCATCCTGGATATGTTAAAGCTGTTGCGGAGCCTGATCACTGATTGTTCCAGAAGTAACGATGACATGGAGATGCGCAACCACCGGAAGACTCTTTGTATTCCAGGGTATTCCGGAGGTAGATAGGGAGGATTGCAGCGGTCTGATTATTGAGATTATCAATAACAAGCTGGGTCTAAATCTCCCTGTGTCTGCGATCAAGAGGTGTCACAGACTTGGAACCAGTACCAAAGAGCATCATCATGTTGCCTCATGGGAAGAAGCACAGGATGCAATTGGAATATTCTGTGATCTTTCGAAGGCATTTGACTGTGTTGAGCACGAAACGCTTTTGCTGAAGCTGGAACACTACGGCATTAGAGGGGTAACGCTAAATCTATTAAAGTCATACCTTCGGGATAGGCAACTTAAGGTGCAAGTAAATAAGGTAAACTCACAGGGTGCTAGCATATCTATGGGTGTACCGCAGGGCTCAATACTAGGCCCTTTCCTATTTTTGGCTTATATAAATGACTTGCCGCATTTATTCCGGAATGAACCACAGATGGTATTATTTGCTGATGACACATCACTGGTTTTTAAAATAAATAGACGTACAAATAATTACGACGATGTAAATAGTGCTCTGATGAAGGTTCAAAACTGGTTTACAATAAATAATTTAGTGCTGAATGATAAAAAGACAAAATGCATTAGATTTGTTTTGCCAAACGTTAAAAATAACGAATGTGACATATTACTGAATAGTGAGAAATTGGAATTTGTAAAAGAGACTATTTTCCTGGGAATTACTGTAGACGACAAATTACAATGGGGTCCTCATATTACATCTCTAGCGGGACGATTAAGCTCTGCAGCTTATGCTGTCTGGAAAATCCGTCAGTTAACCGATATAGACACGGCAAGACTGGTGTACTTTAGTTACTTCCATAGCATCATGTCGTATGGCATTCTGCTGTGGGGACACGCTGCTGACATTGAGTCTATCTTTGTCTTGCAGAAGCGCGCCGTCAGAGCTATATACAACCTAGGTCGTCGCGAATCTCTCAGAGAAAGGTTTAGGGAGATCAATATTATGACCGTTCCATGTCAATTTATTTATGAAAATATTATGTATGTTAGGAAAAACCTACATTTATTTAGTAAAGTGTCTGACAGACACAATTATGAAACTAGACATAAGAATAGATTAAGTCCGCCGTTTTTTAGATTGTCAAAAGTACATAAGTCGTTCATGGGAAT